GGCTGGCTTTCACTGGCACAGCTCCGCAGTGGCTCTGAGTGGAAATGCGCCGCGGCCGCTGCTGAGCTGTGTCAGTGACAGCCAGCACCCCCACATGCCATAGCAACCCAGGCGGGCCCCCCTGTGCCCGGGCCCCATAGCGGCCGTCTGGGTCGCAATGGCTATTGTTACGCCACTGCCTACCTGAGTTCTTACTGTGAACAAGAGATCACCTTACCCAGGGCCAGATTTCCATTTCGGGTGCCTGTAGGCACGAATGGAAATCTGTTTAGCCTGAGCCCTTAACTGCTGCGGGACCTGCCGGCTTTCACATATGCAGAGAAGGACCCTGGCGTCACGTAAGGCTGTCCTAAACGCCTGTCCGCATCAGATAGGCATTTTACAGGGCAGGCGTATGCAGCGCCGGGGTCCTTCCCCTGTGTTTGCCAGAGCCAGTGGCTCCTGTAGGCGCCGCTGGTCTTGGAGCAGAGGGGTGCATTTTGTACCAAATGCATCCTCCTTGCTATTGCCAGTGTTGTATCTTGACACAACACCAGGAATTAGGCAAAGTAGGTACCTGCACCCCGCCCCTCTATGGAGGGTGCCTGTAGGCACGTGCCTACCCTGCTTAATGGTAAATCCGGCCCTGACCTTAAACCTATGTTGTAGAGAAGAGACAAAGGGAAGTGTTCAGTAACCCTGTGCACTCAATCGCATAATTGCTGTATTTGTTATTTTGTTTAAACCTTTTAGCAGTGATAGGTTGCTTCACTCTTCCTGTACACATTAGGCAGGTCCCTGCTACAGCATGAATGCCCTGCATGGGCAGTGTTAACATGGGTCAAAATATCCAAAATCAGAAACAAGACGCAGCTAAATCACATCTGTTCCCCAGACATTTTATGTATCTGTGTATCATAAATTGGTGGCAAAGGAATGCATGACCAGTTACCAAGTGTGATTTCCTTTCTCTTCATCCAGTATGGAGACACAACGCACACACTGGTAGAGAATCTGGACTATAAAGGTATCTTCTTACCTGGATTTAAACCTCCTCTCTTCCTGGATCCCCTGCTGCACAAACTGTAAGTAGCATTGTGAATGTAGAAAGAGTAATATAAATGTAAGAAACAGGCAGACTATTTAGAAAACATTGCTATTAAACTACAATGGGTATAGACATTATACCACCTGCTAGACTGGACCAGAATCACACTTTGTTTGCATGTGTAATAGTAATGGGATGCAACACATAATTGGTAGCAATCAACAAGCAGGAACTGATAACTGAAACTTGTGGGCACTTATTTAAACTGCTTACCGGTACACAGGTGCATAACTAGAAATCATAGGGCCCCATAGCAAAATTTTGTATGGGGCTTCCCCAAACCCCCCCCCCCCCCCAAAAAATAATAATTTAAAAGTACCTACCTCCAGAACACGTTCCTGTGCCTGCGCCATCTCCTTCTCTTGAGCTCTGCTCTTGTTGGTTCTGACATCAGAGCTGAAGAACAGATCACTCTGCCGCTCACTGCTGCAGAACCCTTCATAGACCCTGCACAGCCCACTAGAGACCCTGCAGAGCCCACGAGAGACCCCGCAGAGCCCACCTGAGATCCAGCACATACCAGAGGCCCTGCAGAGCCCACCATAAACCCCACACATTCCACCTGAGAGTGACCCTGCAGAGCCCACCATAGACCCTGCAGAGCTAACCTGAGATCCCCCAGAGCCCACCTGCCCCCCAGCATATACCATAGACCCTGCAGAGCCTACCTGAGACCCCGCAGAGCCCACCTGAGAGCCCACCTGAGACCCCGCAGAGCCCACTTGAGACCCCGCAGAGCCCACTTGAGACCCCGCAGAGCCCACTTGAGACCCTGCACATACCAGAGACCCTGCACATCCCACCTGAGAGTGACCCTGCAGAGCCCACCATAGGCCCCACAGAGTCCACCTGAGACCCCGCAGAGCCTACCAAAGGCCCCGCACAGCCCTGCATAGACCTAACACAGCCCACTTGAGACTCCGCATAGCCCACCTGAGAGTGACCCTGCAGCACCCACAATATACTCTTTATGGTGGGCTCTGCAGGGTCTCAGGTGAGCTGGTCGGGGTCCCTTTCCCTGCACTCCTCTTAACAGTCAGCCCCGAGCTGGCCGCTGCTGGGCCTCTGCCCTCCTCCACCTCTGCTGCCACCACCAGGCCCCAGCTTCCTCCTTCTACACGGCCACTGCCACACCAGACAGGTATTGGTGCTCCCCCCAATGCTACAGGGCCCCCGGCCCCCTGACCAGGCCCTGTGGGTTGCTATGGCGGTAGTTACGCCACTGCCGGTACATAGTACATATGACCTAATGCCCCGATAAGCCAGGCTGCTCTGCTAGGGAGTCATTGAGCACAGTATAAGACTGGGGGCTAAAGAGACTTGTCTGTCTCCTCCTTTATTTTACATTGTGAAGGTTTAGCAGTGATAGAATGACACACCCATCAAAACATATAAGAAGCCAGTGAGTCATTCTACTTAAGATTACATCCAAAGCAGAAATGTCAGTTTTTGGGGGATATGACCTTCAAGCAAAAGCTCTACCTCCTCTCCATATGACTTTATATGGTTCATTTATAACCTGATCCATGTTGATGCTCTTTTTTTTTCATCTTATAGGCCAAATTGCAAACTCAACTTTATTGATCACGTTGTGGGAAATCAGCCTGACGATGAAATGGTCCCAGTTGTAGACTGGTAAATATCCTGTTGAAAACAATCAGTTTTGGAATTGATAACTAAGAAACTCAGGCAGGTCATTTGAACACTGATGATCTATCAGTATCTGTGTGTGATTTGAATGTAGCCTTCATATGAAGTATTTGTGAAAAGTTTGAGATTTGATGTGTCTTCTGTCTGAAATGATGTCATGTATCCATGTGATCCATGTGTGGCAGCCAGAGGGCAGATTTCCTACAAATATTCATTCATTCTCTTACTTCATATTGTGATGAAAAAATCAGTGCTTTGCAGAATGCATATGCACTTCAGAGCTTCCATGCTTGTCCAGACACAAACCCAAGAGCCAGATTTGGGTGGAATGTGAGTAATCTACTGGTATGTTTTTGGATTGTGGAAGTGCCATACAATCACAGGGAGAACATGAATACTCTATGCTGAGATTGTCTCAGGTGGGAACTGAGCCCACTACCTAGCAAGGCAAACATTTTAACAACATCACTCATGTACCCCATATTATATGTTTATGACTATACATTTAGGAATGCCAATATATTTCTTAAAGTTCTATTGCTCTTGATTTGATTTTGTAATAGGTGTGCACATTGTCTAGTGCTGCAAGGGTGCTTGCAAATTTGAAATGATGACATTTTAATCTAAATAGGGGGGACCAGAGAAAAATGATGGCTGATCAGGCACTGGTCACATAGACTTCTATGCTGTACAACGGAGACATTGAGATGAGTGTAATATATCATTCAGTCAACTTTCAGCCATGTATGGTATCAGTGTATTTCCATTTTTGCAGTCAAATTTAGAAAACCCCTCTATATGTTCACTTTGTGTTCCTGTTCACACAGCATACTGAAAAATGACTTAAAAAAAAAAAGACCTTTTAGATGTTTTGTTAAATCAGGCGAGATGGCTGATTCTAGGTTTTTGTTAGCGCTTTCACAGTGGTCTGTCCCAATGGAAAGTCTTTGGACTTAAATTTGAGGATTGTTTTATCTGACAAGCTTTATTAACATACAATGCACAAGCCACCTCTGAATGGATGAGACCCCTCACAGCCCCTCCTAACATTTAAAAGAAATAGAAGCACAAAGAAATGTTAACCATAAAACCCCAACCCAAGTTAAAGAATCATATTTTATTTTTTATAATTTTTTTTAGCTTATGCTATGTGAATGGGAACATGTAGCAAAATTATCCCAATTTGGCTGCGAAAGTGGAAGTACACTTTAAGCGGAGCTAAATATGGCAGGCTTATCTTTTTGTCTTTGTAACTGATACATAAATCTAGTGTGGTCATAGAAAGGAAGATGTATTCCCAAGAATAACATCTTCCCATCCTCTGTAGCTTTAGAACTTGCCGCTGTTTCTCATGGGACTCATCCCTTCTGTCCTTCTGTCCCTGTTCTCACTGAGAAGTGGAAAGCATAAGCCCATTACGTGGTGGTTTTCTAGTAAGTTGGAGAACATTATAATTCTTAGAGGAGGAGGTTCCACAGTAGAGTAACATGTAATCGAAGTGCAGCCTCTAGAAGCATTGAAGCTTGCTCTAATCTGGCTGCAAATGATTATACACTGAGTGGCCAGATTATTATGACCACCCCATCAGTACTTCGTTGGGCCACCTTTTGCCTTCAATACTGCGGCGATTCTTCTTGGCATTGACTCCACGAGATGTTGAAAGGTGATGCGAGGAATCTGACACCATGCCTGATGAATAGCACTATCCAGTTCTGTGAGATTTGATGGTTGTGGAACCATCTGCCTGATGGCTCTTTCAACTTCGTCCCACAAATGCTCAATTGGAGTGAGATCTGGTGATTGTAGGGGCCAACTAAGCAAGGTAAAGTCCCCCTCATGTTCTTGAAACCACTCCTGCACAATACGAGCACCGTGGCATGGCGCATTGTCTTGTTGGAAGAAGCCATCTCCATTGGGATACGCCATCAAAATGATAGGATGAACTTGATCAGCAACGATACTTTGGTATGTTGTGCTATTCAGACGTTGTTCCACACAAATTAAAGGGCCGAAATCATGCCAGGAAAACATGCCCCAAACCATAACACTGCCCCCACCAGCTTGAAGGGTTGTACTCATGCATGTGGGGTGCATGCTTTCCCCGCCAAATTCTCACTCTGCCATCTGCATGATGCAACTGGAAACGCGATTCATCGGACCACATGACTTTTTTCCAATGCTCAACTGTCCAATCCCTGTGCTGCTGTGCGAATTGGAGACGTTTTATCTTGTTAACTGCAGACAGCAAAGGTGTTGGAACAGGCCTTCAGCTTCCATATCCCATGCGATGCAGTGTATGGCGAACAGTGCGTTCAGAGATCATTTGAGAGGATCCCTGATTAAGATCTGCAGTCATTTGATGCACTGTTGCCCTTCTGTTGTCTTGTACCAGTCTTGCCACTCTCCGTTCTGCCCTAACATTGACTAGTCGCTGACGGCCACAATTCGCACGTTGAGACCCAGATTTTCGGCTGACAGTCCAGTCTTTAAACACTTTAACAACAGCTGCTCCTGAACATTTAACAAATCTTGCTGTTTTGCTGATACTCGCTCCATGGCTCCGAGCGCCAACAATCATCCCACTTTCAAAGGCTGTTAAATCGCGTTGTTTACCCGTATCTTCAGAAAAAAAATCACTTCTACTGTCGTGGTAAACAACCTGCTTCCCTATTTATAATGGTCTGGCCCTCTAGCAACTTCAGCGCCAAATTATAGCTAATTTGCCTACAAAAGTCAGGTGGTCATAATAATCTGGCCACTCAGTGTATAAAGCAGAGATTGGAGGTAATGTGAATGAACTGTATGGCTTTAGCAAAGTTGCAGTGCTTTAAAGATAGCATTATCTGCTATTTAATCTGGGGTAGTACTTTCAATCCAGTCAGGGCCGGTGCAAGGATTTTTGCCTATAAAGAGGAAGGTGGATTTCTTCTCCTGTAAGGAGAAACCGCTGACAGTCTGTGAGTCTGCAGCAGAGAGAACGGGACAGGCACAGTTATCTGCAGGGACGGTGCTACCATTTCTCTGCCGCCGCCCCGCCCTGCTTATGCTGCCTTGCACTAGTGCCAGCACTAAATCCAGTATGTAAAAAGTGTGAAAGTACAGTTTTTTTGAAAGAAAGACAACCTCCTCTAACCCTCGTGATGAACTATGTACATGACAAGTTTTCAAAAGGATGTCACCAGCACACCATTTATGTGAAATCAACAAAAGTGCTGGTGGATGGGGCTGGAGCTGGCTCACTGCTAGGCATCATGTCTCCACAGTAACTGACTGACGTGTTTCTCAACCAACGGCTGTGCCAGCGGTGCACACGGTCTCGTCCATGTGCCAGCTTATGTAGGCAAATTTTGCTGCTAAAAGACTGTTTGTGATTGGGTGGCTGTAAGGGGTAGGAGGTTCTTTGGTGTTTGCACATGTTTAAGTATGTCTATTTAAAGGGTACTGAACATTTTGGTTGTGTCATTCTGAGCCTGATGAAGGGGACCCTGTGTGGCCCCGAAATCGCTTGTACTGGAATGACAGTAATCCATTAATAAATTGACTTTTGTTGATTTCACTTAAATGGTGTGCTGGTGACATCCTTTTGAAAACTTGTATATCTTCACAGCGCCATCCGTGGTCAATACGAGTACCCACCAGGATTTCAAGGAACATCCTATACCAGTAAGGAGTGCAGCAAGACACTTACAGTATATATGACTATGTAAATTACAGGGACAAGCGCTTCTTGTGTTGAATGCACTCATTATCTTCCCTTAACCCTGAACAGCCCAATTCCTACTGATGTGTCACGTTGGGCTGTAGAAGCAGGGATGGGATTGGACTGTTAGTGGCCATCTTTACTTCTCATTTCTAACTGTATAGAAGAAGTAATTGCATGAAAATATCCTTACCTTTCCATGCAGGTACCAGAAAACTCTATTGTTTCATCGTTTCTGGTCTGTGGATGACAAACAGCTGCACACAGATTTCAGTGCGCTGCGCTCTATTGTGGTCTCTAACTATGAAGAAACCATCAAGATGCCTATAAATGAGCCTGCGCCAGGAAAGAGGAAGTCTCAGATCCAGGTATCTCACTGTCATTATGCCATATACAGTATATTAAAGGCAGATTAGTGCAGTCTGCTGCTTCAGAATTGACCATCATCATGAATGGGCAAATCTGTAGTGGACTGAGCCACCTGCAACCAAGAATGGTTAGGTAGTCCAATCTGGCCATGTGTGGTATGCTTTAGCTAACTGATCAAAATACCAGCAACTGTAGAAGAATTAATAATTAATTTAGGTCAAATATTTAATCACACATCTTCTCTGTTTTCCTATAGGAGTATGTTGAATATTATGGTGGTCCCGGAGTTCAGCACATTGCTCTTAACACATCGGACATTATTACTGCAGTGAGTACCCTGTTATACCTGTGCCCTAAACAGACATTTTACAGTACATATTTTTCATATTGTATACGCTGTAGAGATCTATGGATAATAACAGGCATATTTCTTCTACAGATCACCAACCTAAAAGAGAGGGGAATGGAATTCATGTCTATTCCATCCATCTATTACCAGACACTGAGGGAAAATCTGCAGACAGCTAAAATACAAGTTAAAGAAAATATCGACATTCTGGAGGTCAGTAGAAGCAAAGAGCAATGAAAGTCTCTTTGTACTATATCCCCATGTTTTGGTTTCATTTTGCTTTTCCTTCTCTTCAATCCTTCTTTAAGACATTTCCCCAAATGTACAGTCATGTGAAAAAGTAAGTACAGCCCATGGAAACTGCTAACTTTTTCATCATATCTGAGCAGACAAACATTAGATCCTGAAACAGTGCCTATGAATAAAGGTGATATTGTTGACTAAGAATGTAAGAAACAAATTGCCATTTCATTCAGATCAATAGAAAATAAAAAATCAATGGATGTAATGGTACACAAGTACCTCCTTGGCATTGGTATGGCCCCCTTTAGCAGAAATTACTTTTTAGAGGTAATTTCTATAACTGGGCATCAGCCTCTGACATTGACTCATTTCAAAGGGACTCATATTAAGGCTTTGACTAGTGCACCTCATAACCCTTATTTCTTCTGTTTGAGCCATTTTTAGGTGGATTTGCTGGTGTGCTTTGGATTATTATGGTATTGAAAGACCCATTTTTGGTTCTGCTTTAACTTTTCGCAGTTGGCCACACATTCTCATCAAGCATACTTTGATATGATGCAAAAATAATAGTTGACTCGATGACAGCAAGCTGCTCAGGCCCTGAAGCAACAAAGCAGCCCAAACCATAACCTTTCCACCACCATGCTGCACAGTTGTTATGAGGTTCTTCTAGAAATGCTGTCCTCAGTGTGCATGAAATATGTCTACCTTTGCAGTGACCAAACAGCTATCTTTCATTGATTAGTCTTTAGCACGTTGTTCCAGAAGGCCTAGTCTTTGCCTATATGTTCAATGATACACTGTCATCTTGTTCTAATGTTCTTTCTGGATAGCAAATGCTTTTTTTTCTTCAACACTACACTCAATCAGATTGAATTGGTGCAATCTTTCTGATTTTAGATACATGCATTTAGACCCCAAGTTTTGCACAAGTTAGCACTCGGTGATTCAATTTTGGGGTCCTTGGAGGCTTCTTGTAGCTTTAAATGGACACTACTTGGGTTACATATGCTGGGATGGCCAGTCCTGGACAATTAGCAGTTGTTTGTTTCTGAAACCAATAGAGCGCTCTATTGATGATGACACCACACACATCAACAGGGTCTTGTCCTGTATTAAGAAGGGGATGTATTGCAGGGACAAGTCTATAATTGTGCCACTATATAGATCGTTGGTTCGGCCACACCTGGAGTACGCGGTCCAGTTTTGGTCGCCGGTACTGAGAAGGGATGTCCTTGAACTGGAGAGAGTCCAGTGGAGGGCAACCAAACTAATTAGGGGAATGGAGGACCAGAGCTAAGAGACAAGGCTTCTGAACTTAAACATGTTCACGCTGGAAGTAAGGAGATTAAGGGGGATATGATTTTCATGTACAAGATGTTCAATGGTGACAGCAACATTGGCAACAGACTCTTTAAGATTAACTCCATTACAAAGACTAGAGGCCACCACCTAAAGTTGGTGGAAAACAAATTCCAGCACAAGGGGTGAAGGGGGTTCTTCACAGTAAGAGCGATTAGGGTCTGGAACTCACTGCCACCGGCAGTGGCAGTGATTTCAGCTAAGAGTGTAGAATTGTTCAAGAAACTTTTGGACGATTTCCTGAGGGACCGTATTATACAGGGGTACAAGTATCTCTAAGAATGAGATGATGCGTGGACCTATATGGGTTGGACTTGATGGACGTATGTCTTTACTCAACCCCAAATACTATGTAACTATGTAACAGCAAAGAGAACACCAGAACCATAGATGTCTGAGTGTTAAATAAGACAGGTTCCACCTGCATACTTCCTTAGGAGTTTGTAATCATTGGCGCTTACTCTGGAACACCCAATTCTAACTTCATGGATTTGAAGTGGTGGTAAATAATTTCCATATGACAAATCGGCATTTTCATTAATTTAGGTCATGAAAATGAATACACCATATCAATTGTATGTGTCATTTGAATGAAGGTCTACTGTTTGCCTATTCATATATCCTGAAAAAGTCAACAATTTCCATGGGATGTACGTACATTTTTACACAACACTGTATATTGGTCAATGGACAAGTGGGACTAATACTTCCCTGATGACTTTTTTTTCATGTTACTGTATTTGTTTCATTTGACTACTGCTGTTAGGATTGGCTCGTAGGCTCTTTACAATATGTCCTTGATGCAATCCCAGTATAGCAAGGGTAGGAATTTCCCAGGTCACACACAGGAGGGAGGCATGATCCAGTTCAATGCTTTCCCAAAAAAAGTTAAGATACTCCCAAAAACTGTGAAAAATAATGACATTGGTACTCAAACATTTCGGGCAATTTGTCCTTAAGGTCCTGGCCTCTATCAAGAAGAATTGTATTGCTTTTTTATATATGTTGCAATTGCAAAGATAACACGCATGTTATACTCTTAATGTACAACCTCATTACTAGGGTTGCACAGATACCAAGTACAGTACTCGGTACAAATACGAGTACAAGTACCGATACTTTTGAGCTCCAATACTACACTAGAGACAAATTCAAAAATTAGGAGGCAGCTGCCATTTGTAAGGAGCACATGGAGCTCCTGGGATTTGTACATCTCTGTTTTAATGTACGATTTTGTTTTTATAAATAAAGGGATGCACAGATACCAGTTTTGCGAGTACTGGTACTTGCCGAGTACCGTATTTTTCGCTCCATAAGACGCACTTTTTCCCCCCAAAAAATAAGAATGCGTCTTATGGAGCGAATCCCGACGCCCGAGACATGCAGTTTCGGGCACCGGGCGAGTAATGCTTTGTACATTTAGCTCTGCTAAAGCACAGCTAAATGTACAGTAGGAGCCAAAGCTCATTTAATACGAGTGATATAATCACTCGTATTAAAACCCAGCAGCGGCGGCGACGATCGAGATCACCATAGAGCAGATGAAGACGTTCTTCGTCTGCTCTGTGTGATCACTGGGACCGTGGCGCTGTAATCACAGCGCCACCTGTCTCAGCAGTCACTAACTGCAGCTTCTGTCACAGCTTCTGTCTCAGAAGCTGTGGCAGGAGCTACGGTCTTTCGAGTGCTCCATAAGGCTCACCGGACCTCCCTGCGTCCTATGGTCCGGTGCGTCTTATGGAACGCAAAATACGGTACTTACAAGTACGAGTACTGATACATTTTTGTTTATTGTCATGTGACAGTTTTTCTAAAACAAAACAGATAATGATTTCAGGACAGTGGTGGAGCGCCAGAGCCAGGTCCCAGCTGCAACCCCGGTAGTTCTCATGAAAATGCCAAGTATCTGCACTGGTACTCGAAAAGTATTTGTGCATCCCTACTCATTATATTTACGAACAACTATGTAGTGAAAGCACGTTACCTTCACAGTATATTCAGTTTGTAACCAATCAGGCAGGCTCTCATGCTACACAGTTTTTGCTAAATTAAAAGGAATTTGTACAATCAGATTGCAACGTGCATGGCCTGCTTTAGAGGCAAACAATTCAGATCTTTTCTTAGGAATCTGGATCTCCTCGGCAGAGTCTGTGGACCCTCCTGTAGGCTCTGGGATGAAGATTTAGCTGCGCTCTCTATTGGTGATAACACAATAGCAAGTTTGTTTAGCAGCATCCATGACATTTCTCTTAAATAACCTTTCAGGAGCTGAACATTCTGGTGGATTATGATGAAAAAGGTTATTTGCTGCAGATTTTTACAAAGCCAATCCAAGACAGGCCGACTCTATTTCTTGAAGTCATTCAGCGTAATAATCACCAGGTACGTGTGAGGACTTTGTTAGGAATGTTTGTTTAGGTTACAGTGCAGCACTTAAAGAGGAACTCCAGGAATCTAAAAAAATGATCCCTTGTAGAAGGGCTACACCCGCACTGTAAGGGTTAACAGCTCATTTTGGGCTAGGGCAGGGATGGCCAAACTGCGGCCCTCCAGCTGTGGTGGAACTACGAATCCCATGAGGCACAGACATGACTCCCGGAGAGAGATGCTTCATGGGATTTGTAGTTTCACCACAGCTGGAGGGCCGGAGTTTGGCCATCCCTGGTCTAGGGGCTCAAGTAAAAAAATAAATAAATATATACACACCTGATCCTCAGTCCCGCCTGGCTGCTGAACCGAACCCCGCAGCCTCTTCTCCCTCCAGACGCTGGTGTCATTATGTCTAATGCAGGTCCATTCATCTGCATTAGATTTGAGGACACCAAGGGACATACCACAGCCAGAGTAGAGGGGTCAGTGGTAAGTAGACCGAGGATCAGGTGAGTATATTTTCTATATTCTGGCCCCTAGACCAAAATGAGCTACCCCTGCACTGGAAGGGTTAATTTAAAAAAAACCTGGAGTTCCTCTTTGCGCTGATATTTTGGGCTCATATACATTACAATGCTGGGCTGCAATGGCATGGGAAAAAAACAACTTGTTTTCAGTGGGGCCTGTTATCACCAATGCTCTACTTTGATGTTTGTTGTCCAAAAATGCGACACGTTGCAGCTTATCGGTGAGCACTGCAACACCCATCATTGCATGCTATGTTGAAGCTATCTCCTGCTGTGACAAAGCTCACTGCAATGCAAGTAAAATGCATTCACATAAGCAGAAAATGAGACTTTGGGGGGCATCATGTATACAAACACCAATCAGTTTGACCACGATGCTTACTCCGTGTCTCAAGCAAGAATATAACAATTAGGGGTGAATTTCAAAAGCAGGGGTATGGTGAAGGGTGCCGCCTGTCACCCTTGATCTGCATACTGACTTTAGAGCCCCTTTTATGCCATATCCGCAAGAGTTGTAATATTCAGGGTATGCTCGTAGAGAAAACCCATCACCAGTGCGCTGCTTTTGTGGACGATCTTCTGTTTTTCTTCACTTCTCCGGAGACCACATTACCCAACCCTTCCCGAAAGAACTACATACATTTAGAGAACTGTCCAAGTTCAAAATGAATTACCACAAGTCTGCCATATGAAATATTTCTCTGCTGAAGGGAAAAGTGGATAGTTTGGTCCCACAAGTTTCTTTCCCCTGGATAACGGATCATATTCTCTACCTGGGAGTCAAGATTACACCTAGGCATGATCAACTTTTCTTGGCAAACTTTGCCCAGTTATTGCATTCCATCCGCATGGATTTTGAGACCTGGTCACGATCACACTTTACTTGGTTCAGGAAGAATGCCATTTTGAAAATTAAAATTTTCGATGCCTAGACGACACGTTGCTCCCTTTACAACTATTACTTGACATTGTCTGTATGTCTTATACCTTGAAAATCCAAAAAAACACATTGAGATGGAAAATGAACATTTTCAAACTCTCCCCGTTAACATACCTGCTTCATTCCTGCAGCTCCTGCTTATGGATTTTCTACATTTTCCTGGTCCCCGTCTCTTTCTCAATTGTCTTACAAATGCATGGTGCTTCCTAAGACTCAAGTAGATATAGCTTTTCCTGATCCTTGTCTCTACCACAAGGATTCCCATCTCTCCAGGATGATCTCTTGGTGTAGGAACGAGAAAAACAAACAATGGATAGCCCTAATACAGTCTCTCTCATCCATTCCTTTGAAGTATTTACCTTGGTTATCACCATAACACTAACTGCGCACCCACTTATTGGCCCCTCACTGAAGGTTTTGATTAAGACACCTGAATTGGGTTGTTTACAAAGCAAGCCTTCCCTCTTATCTCCAGTAATAGAACACCCCGATTTCATACCTGGTAGGGGAGACAGACATTTCCAGAGGCTTAGGTATAATGGGAACTTTAGGCTAGGTGATTTTGTAACTGGTGCTCATATCCTATCTAAAGATGAAATCAGGATGCTGGTTGACCCTCCACTGGATTGTGGAGGACCCAACAACTACACCACTTCCTGTCTAGTCTGCTTCCATAAAACAAGACTCTGCCCAATTTCTCTGCATTTGATCGCCTTTGCATTGGAGATGGTCCATCCAGGCATTCTCTCTCTTTCTGGCACACAAGATTTTAACCACCACTGAAGATTCTTTACTCCCACCCTTTCTTCTCAAGTGGAAACGGGACCTGAATTTGTTGTCATCTTCAGAACAACAAACCGATGTCTTATTTTTTTCTCATAGCTTTCTGCATGCAACAGAGGATCTAACTATAAATTGTTAACTCGTTGGTATCAAGTACCCTCGGTACTCCATAAAATTTGGCCTCCGGTCTCTAACCTTTGTTGGTGTTGTAATGCAGCTGAAGGGACCCTCGTGCACATATCCTAGTCCTGTTCCCGTTCCTAATTGAAAAACATTTGTACACGAGTCCAATCTTTGTGTCTGAGGCCTACGGGGGTTGGCTTTAAGGACAAACCAGTCTGTAGATTTCTCCTACCTCTCCTCTTCTCTGATATCTATTCTCTTAAATCTTAATGAGGCCTACAGGTGTTGGCTTTAAGGACGATCCAGTCTGTAGACTTCTCCTACCTCTCCTCTTCTCTGTTAGCTTAAATCTTAATCTAAGCTTTTTTCACTTTTTGATTACATTGCTAGTGTTTGACCTACCTGTGACATTTGTTGAATGTCTCTCTTTTTGGAAAATGCCAAAAACCCACCCCATGTCTCACGGGAGATGACGAACTAACCATTGATGCTATCCACGACTGATACCCTGTTGCTACTTCGTATTGTTCTTGATTTTTTTTAGTGTGGGATTATGTTTATTTGGAATGTAAACATTGTTGTTTTTGGATTTCTTCTGTTTTACATGTGGATAAATAAAGAATAAAAAAAAGAAGCAGGGGCATGGTGATAACATTAAATTGCCAGAACACTTTTGGGTGAATATCTGTTTAAAAGCACAAGTCTACTCCCCACTAAGGAATAAGTACTGTCTGAAAGGTGGCATGATAAATCTGCAGCAGGGATGAAGTCCATCAGCAGAATTTCCAGGGTCTGAATGTGCTAATAAATACTCAACCTACAGATTTCTCCATGCCAGCTTCTAGCCAATACTGATATGGGTAGACTTGCCCTCATATAGAGAATTTATTGTTAAGGATAGCTACATTAACTGTGCCAATGATTTTGTACTATTGCAGGGATTTGGAGCTGGGAACTTTAAATCACTCTTTGAAGCTATTGAACAGGATCAAGCTGCACGTGGAAACCTCACCATCCTTACTCCAAATGGGGAGCTGGAAAGCCTATAGGAACTATACAATTTAAATTAGTTTACAGTAACACCTGCCTAATATATTTTGTGGTCAATATAGTACATATTATTTGGTAAATATTCTTGCTTACTCTAGGACCAACATTTTCTCCAAGTTATTCCTATAGGTTATATTCAATGTATAATTTCTTCGGCGCCTTCCTGCATGAAGAGGGAGGAGGGTATATATGTGTGTATATAGTCACAGCTGTAATTTAAAAATGTTCTGCTATACTGAACTTACTGCTGCATGAGAACCATAATATTTTCTTTATAAGACACAAAAATATATTGGGAGTTTTGATCCTAATTAGTATCTTTAGTAAAGTGTATGCTATTATGCTTAGAGAACTCATAAGGCTCAATTCCATAAGCTGTAACATAATATTTGACGTAATGATTATTTGTAGCCATTTGACTGCCTTTCTCAGCTTTCGTTTTGGAAAATAACAGTCCTTATAATACAATTTAGTGTATTGGCCTTACTATCTGCTATAGTCTAGGCATGCAATCTATTGGATTGTTATATAAAATGGCCCATCTATGGTTGATCATCTTTGTCCTATAGAGAGCCATTTATCTATGGGTAATGCAAACTCCTATTATACATTATGTTAGAAATCAGGCGTGTACTGTGGCTATGAGACACAGGGGGGCAAAAACGTAGCAAATATTAAAAGATACACTCCAATAAAATGTACATTTTTTGTAATGTTCTTTTTTTAAACTATACTAGTGATTTTGGAACTTGTTTATTAATTCCTCCAGCACAAGTGTGCCCCAAGCTCAATTTACTCGAATGGAAAGTTCATACTCCGCTCACTTGGACAGCTAAAATGTCTGATTTGTCAAGGCTGAAGAGGGAGGTCATCGTGAATTTATATTGCAGTTATTTTTTGTCATTAAAAATAAAATAATGCATTTTTTAATGAAACTGAATTTGACTTGCTACCAGCCTGTGTAATCCTCTGACTTCTACTGCTGCCCCTTCCTCTCCTAGTCTCTACTGTCAATCTGGTGTGCTGCATGAACACATGCAGACGGTGAGCATGCTGTTAGCACAATAACAGGAGAGGACAGAGTGAGCAGAGAGATGACCTCCTCTCCTTCACTATCCAGTCAAAGGCTGGAGGCATGGAGATGGCCAATCTGTATAGAAAAGCAATATGTCAGCTACCTGCCTCTACTGCCCGAAAGTGCTATTCTCAGGAATGGATGGACACAGAAAACAAAGCATTTGGCAGGTAAACCAGGTCCCATATATTGAATTGTCCATTTGACTGCTTGACAGGACTTTCGCTTTAATACATTTTCATTAAAATGGTATCCTGTCAGCAGCTTTAAAGGGGTTCTAAACCCTCCCGTTTTTTTTGCCTATATCTACTGCTATTAAGCAATAGATATAGGCAAACAGTGTAAAAAAAAACAAAAACGCTAAAACAGCGGTTTAAACTTACCTTTTTTTCTTTGCGCGCTCCCGTCCGAGAAAACGAAACTGTACGTGGGGCTGCAAAGCATCTTGGGGCGGGCACATGCGCAGTTCGGATTTGTGGCCGGGAGACGAGCAGAGACGCAAGCTAAGTCTATGGACGCGTGCACCTGCATGCAGACACCGCTGGATCAGAGGGACAGAGCAGTCAGCGCTGGATTGGAGAGCCGCCGCACCGCTGGAGGGACAGATGAAAACATCATGAAAGAAGAGGAAGATCGGATTAAGAGACATCATTTAAGGTAAGTGCTGACATTAAAATGGGGGGGAGGGAAAAAAATATATCCTTTAATGTCACTTGATGCATTATTGACTACAGAGCTGCATTAGTGTCTTTTATATATCTGGCTAGAGTTTCAGCTTTAATCTATCAAACACAGCCACTAGATGTCCCTGCAGTATCATTTACTAGTACACATTTGATAACTGGAAAATTAAAACAACTTATGGATGGGGAAAAGGTTTTTTTTTTTAGTATTGCATTCTCACATGTACCAATCTACTGTTGTAATTGGTTAGGACAGCAAAGCATTTTCAGAAAACGGAGCAGAAACTCGGTCTATGAGGTTTCCATGCCTCTAAGGGTGTTCCCCCCACCCCACCAGGTCATAGGCTGGGTTCACACCATTTTCTGGTGTGGAACTGGACCATATCTGGAACATAGTGCATTGCATTTTTGCCGCGATTGGAATAAAATAAAATATATATATTTTTATTTTAGCTTAAAATGGTCTTACAGGTGCATTCCGTGCGTTTTCAATGCATGTTGATGTGTTCCAGTGCATTCCAGGACAAGCAGTATTTTTCTAGTCTGGTCTGGAACGGACTTTGCTGTTGGGAACAGAGGCCAGAAATAGCATAGGGATACATTGGGATGCATTTTGGGTCCAGAAACAGTTTGGTCTGGAGGTAATCTGGATGTGGTGTGAATGGGCCCTGAATCAGGAACAAATAAATTTTTTTTTTTTTTAGGGGGGGGGGGGGATTTTTTTTTTACTGTAATGTCACTTTAACTTCTCGGTTCTATGGTATACTGTACCTTTGTATTTCCATTAACACCTTCCTCCATTGGCAGAGCTATTTAGATTTGCTGTAAAGGACTAATTTCTTTATTGCAGTAATAGTCTACAGGATCCACATTCTAAACATTTAAGCCCTCTTCATATCTGTGCATTGTGGCTATATGCATTAATGCATGGATGTTTGTCCAATGATGCAGCATTCATTAGAATGGCACCCCAATACACGATTACAGTAGTGAGCAATGCACCTATTCTGCAGTGCAGCACAATGAACATGCTAAACATTGTGGTGTGCTGCAAGGAAAAAAAAAATTAAATACTGTTGGGGGATTTCAGGAGGGAAGAAGGGAGCTCTGGAGAGCAGAAGAGAGTCTATTGGAGTTGTATTTTAGCATGCATTGTACTAAGTCAGGCCACACATATTGACTGGGTTGCAAACACACAGTGGGGTCACACAGGAGGTGCGGCCCGCACCGGGTGACACCATTAGAGGGAGTGAAACCAAAATGAGTCATTTTGGTGTCACCCCCTCTGAAAAGTTGCACACTGTCATTGACCTGCAGGTATACGTGAGAGGAGGGGACACAGTGGATACCTTAGCGAGCCCAGTGAACGTCCCCTCCTCTATCTGCCGGCGTCCATCACCGAGATGGCCACTGGCAGTTAAGTTAGCATGCCATTATTTCGCGCATGCGTGATGACGTCCTGACACGTCCTGGGGGCGCCCCTGCAAACAAATGACAACAGTCCATAAAACACAAAATACCTTTTATTTTTTTTATACTTACCTGCAGTGGTTGTCAAGGTGGTCATGTGATGCCATCTTCTGTCCTCACCTGGCCGTGGTTGGTCCTAAATGATGCGGAGAGTGGCACTAACGTGACGCCCTGCTTTCACAGTCTGTCTTCAGTGTTCCATGCTGAATGACATGGGGCCTCATTCAACTTGGAAGACTATGGACATCTTGTGGTAAAAAGATAGTACTGTAGGGAACAGCTCCAAAAGGTTAGTACAGCCACTCCTCGCTTAATGACCTCCCTGTTTATGACCAAATCCCCAAATTGTCGGTATTGTACACTGTGCCATATACTAGAGCCGATTCCCTCTATTCCACACATAGCGACCAATCCACTTAACGACCTAGGAATGGAACCCGATAGTAAAGTGCAGAGTATCTGCATTGTAGTCTGAGCTTTTTTTTTGTCAGGTCTGCAAAATGTGAAATTTGGCTTTAATGCACCCCAATGACCTGCAAAGATTTAAATGGGTCCTTAACCTTAAACAGCACCAGTTATTGAACTAGATGATGCTACAAACCTATGTACGCAATGCAGGCCAGGATAACAGGCAACAAAACCTGTGCCTTAAAAACCTAAATCTTGTGATTGCTGGACTAAGCCTGCTACATCCACGCAGATGCTGGCTGATGTCTGCTTAATTTAGAACATGTCTCTTATCCTTGTTCTTGTTAACAAGACACATCTTCACATAATAAAATTCTTATCCCTACTAAAATGATGAGAAATCCATAAAATTAAAGCTTTTGCTTACGGGTTTTTTTTTATAAGTATATCCTGCACGACACTGGTCCATACCCCCCTCTGCCAATCCCTGCACTGGCTTCCACTCGGCCAAAGGATAAAATTAAAATCACTTACAAAGCCATCCACATCTCCGCCCCCGGATATATCTCAAACCTGGTCTCAAAGTATCACCCTAACCGTCCCTTCTGCTCTTCAAAAGACCTCCTTTCCAGCTCCCTCATCAACTCCTCCCATGCTCGCCTCCAGGACTTCTCTAGAGTCTCTCCCATCCTCTGGAACTCTTTACCCCAACCTGTCAGTCTATCTCCCATCCATACTGCCTTTAGGTGATCCCTTAAGACTCATCTCTTCAGGGAAGCCTATCCCACCTCAACCTAACCACTGAACCATCACATTCTCAAACAATTCATCCCCACACAGCTACCTCCTCATGTATCATTTCCCCCTCCCCTTTTAGATTGTACGCCCTCAGGGGCAGGGTCCTCCTTACCATCTTGTCTTGAATTGTAATGTCTTCTTTATATTGTAAAGCGCTGCCCAAACTGTTGGCACTATATAAATCCTGTATAATAATAATAATTTCTGTAATTTGTGTAGAGAACACACATATTCACACTTGAAAGAATACGCACTGACAACATATTTTCTGTAAGAAAAGTGAGTATATTTATGGTTTGCTTTATAAAAGTTACTATAATACAATGGTACAGAGTATTGAATTCACAAAAAATATGAACAGATATATACAGGCAAGACACACCCACAAAAAAAAACACTTTCTTCAAAACAAGGTACATATCCAAGGCAGTTTTATGCACAAAAAAATTCCCTAAATGTAGAAGTCCTTTAAAAAATAATTATATAGAACCCGCAAAATCTCTTTGGCAGAGATTCCAAAACAAAAGCTAAATGATGCTAATGAAAAAATAAGTTCTTTTATTGCAAAACCTGTCACTTGGCTTCTGGTTGATTTTTAATTTTTTTTGTCTTTTTTTGGTTTTTTTT